TACAAGGTACGGACCGGGACTTGATGACATCCGGGGCCAAGGACGCATTGGTGTTGATACGACCAGCATTTTTCATAATGAATGTTCCGCTTCTTTGGCCGCTCTACTTACTGGTCAGACCATTGCTGCTTCGACGGCAATAAAAAACGAGAGATCCTCAACCTAGCGTCAAGAAGTGGCGTTTTTAAAGCGCCGATCTTGCTCGACCACGTCTTTGCGAGGCTTCCGCGCAAAAACTAACAACAGATGGCAAGATGACGGTCACGGAGTCGTTGTCATTAGTCGCAGGTGACTATTTTATTGTAGCCGATAGCTCGACAGCAAGCACCTCTAGCTCCACGCTTCGGTGTGTGATGAAAGTCGTTAGTAACAGTGGCAATATGATCACGGATGATCTTGTTGATCCTGGTCGCTGTGCGTGTGAATTCCCCGTGACATACGTGGCTAAAGCTTGGCATATTTCGCGTTTCGAGCTTCGTGCCCATGCAATTCGAGATTTGGTACCGGGACGAGAATACGCAGTTCGAGTTGTTGCTTCTAGCAGTAGCTAAGGTGAGAGTCCTCCACTAGCAGCAGCCACCACGATCTCTACAATGTGAGATCGAAGTTAATTACATACACCTACAGTGTAAGCTCTTGTCTCTCAACACTTTGAACAAATCACGTACAATTTGATAGAGGAGAAATAAATAGACGATTACAGGAGAAATTGTTAAGGAATGAAGATAAGTTTTTGTTCCTGCAAGCAAGGTTGTTAGTGAAAGTGGCGCCAGGGCCTCTTACCGAAGTGGGACCTCAAAGTTCCATGGGTGTTCGTAATGAGGGTTTCCCTTTCAATTCATAAAATACTGATGACAGCCCTGGTGTACCCGTCGACCCTTAAAACGTTCATAGCAAAAGTTGTTCACCCGTTACTCATCGAGTTGTGCCGGCGGAGAATGACATTTCTGCGGTTGGCATTCTTGAGATATCGTTGAAAGTGCAGGCAAGCATCCGGATCGAGATCGGATGCGCTTTCTAAATTCCGGCTAAAAGGTGATATAACTTCAGATTTTGGCCCACTAAGTTTCAAAATATGCTACCATTTTCATCATCCAACTCAATTTTTATTAACATTGTGACAGGTTCGAAAAGCATCGTCTAAATGAAAGTCTTATGGACAGTGGACACTACATATGCAAGTAGGCTACATGGTCATGTGAATTTTACCTGCCTTTGGCAATGGCATGCTGATTTAAACATCCTGGCTTTCTGCCATAGCATCGCACATCCGGAGCATGACGCTCATATTCTTCAAGTTTGAATCTTTAATTCTATTGTGATGCATAGTTCACGCAGACCGGAACCACTTTGTAACGCATTCAACGACTAACCATCCATTTAAAACAACGGATTAAAGCCTGCGGAGTTCAAGCGCAAAACCGATGAGTGAGAGCTTATTTTGCTGCAATGTCGAGTATTACTTAGCCTGAAACTGCAGCTCATTGTAATTTTAGCCTTGCAAACTCTGATTGAAGCATCAGAAAAGTGCTAGCCAAGTCGGTTAACTCCATGTCCTACTCGAGCCCGCGTCAGAAGCTCTTTTGCTTCTTGGCAGAGATGAAGGCAAGAGAGTACTTACGCTCAACTACTAAACTACTACGACGGATACCTGCTACCACGTGAACAACGCATTCTGTCTGACCGTCTGTCTACGGATAGTCAGAGGTGGGCATATCTAATCCGGTGTCGAGCATCTCAAAAGAAGTATGCCAAAATCGCTGTAGTGCGCGGATCTCAACTCGACACTATGATCACCAGAAAGTCATTCACAATGATCACAATACCGGTAATACTTGGCGCGACTATCAAGACCTATATCAAAGTTTATAGTTAAGGTCTGCCCAATTCTGCATGATGCGGCAGACTGCTTAATGGCGACACATGCGGCAAGAGTTTAGCCCTCTGACACGGCTCCCTCGTGAGCACGTATAATCTTACACACTTATACAAATTGGGTCACCAATACATAGCATCACCAAATAGTATTGGCTTTACTTCCATAGTAGCCACATCATATGCCTTGTAATTATTTTCGTATTTGAATTTCTCATCACGACGGGCTACTATACGTGGCGTATCAGGTGATAAAGACTATAATATAGCAAGTCTTGTGATATGAACTGGGTGCAAGCGTGCTAACGCGCGGATTTTTGAAACGGTATCCGAGCTCCCAAACTTGTTGCATCCTCAATGCTTTCAGCTACGAAATACATGTCATGGAATAGCTCAATAATTGGTGATGTCGCCATTGTGACATACGGCACTTCACAGTCGACACGAAGCGAAAGTACTAAAAACATCTAAATAATTCGATCCAACTAATCCCTTACCTCAAATACATGCTTGGTTATAGGGGATGACCATCTTGCCATTCTTTGTGGGTGGCTTGGTGACGGCGTCGCTGTGCACAACGACAGCTAAGAGCAAAGCAACCGCATTCTAAATTTGACAAGGGCATACTTCACTGCAAGCCGAGATGTGCTATAAACTGAGTCGAATTTCTCTGCTATAATAAACTGGCGAAAATCAGATACAATTACGCGTTAGTGCCCACCGGCATTAGCTTGGAATATAGCACATTAGACAGCAAAGTTCAAAGTCTTAGCTACAACATAGACGTCTGATCTGGATCTAATAGAGCCATCGGTACACTCATATCCAATTTACCAGGATCTGCATAGCTATAGGCAACTCTTTTGTCAAGTATGTTTGCTCCTAATTTTGAAGAGCATCACCAGAAAAGTAACCAGTAGCACTCCAAGCATCTCGCTCGGAGCACTTTCCCCAGTAAGAAGGGTTTCGGTAATCAAATGATTGTATCCATCACTAAATTAAGAGCACTGAGCAATGATCTGCCGACCATGCGTTCTACAGGCATCCGCTCTAGGATTCAAATTCTTTTGTTGGAAGCTTGGCAGTATTCAGGTCATTATAGCATGCACAATTCCCTTCTTGCCGGAAGCTTTCTGACACAGAAAGTCTGCGCCGAGTGAAGGTCGTAGTATTTCACCAATTTTGCTTCGTGCTTTGCGCTAAAGTAGCATCTCACTATTCCCTTCCGTTTGTATTGACTATTGCTGTGGCTTCGGAGATTTCACCGTATTGCAAGTTTTTGCTCGCACTCCCGGGGAAATTTTCAACAGCTAAAAAGAGCCAATATTGGAATGTGTGAAAAAAGGCTTTCGATTCTTGAACTACGTTATTAACTTTATCGACAAAATGGGTATTCCCGCAGCGTTCCTGTGGAGCTTTACTGATTTGATCAGTAGACATGAATTGACTCAGCAGTACGTTTCATCATCATTCCTGAAAGCATCGAGGCCCAGACATTCTACTTGCGACTTGTAGTCATCCTTCAGCATCACCGGCTCTTGCAGAGGAGGCACGACTCCCAGCCACCTCTACATTCTACCAACACTAGCACAGGAAATCCATCGTGCATTTGTTTTATACCGTTCCACAAGAGATACAGACGACGGACAATTGTTCATTCCTGACTCGACAAAAATGCACTACGAAATTCGCGACATACAATCGCTTTTCAGTCACTGGATCGTCTGCATTCCGAGCTTTGGTCAAGGAATCAAGCAGAACATTACCGGTTGAAAATCAATGTCTCGAACAAAAGTATCGAAGTTTCGCATCCGCGCCAAAAGTGCAGCGGGGCTGCCGTAGCTTTTTCGCTTAGAGTTAGTTTAATTAAGGTCGGCCGCCCTCGTTTTATTCTTAGAACAAGTATGAGTGTAGCGGATCGCAATCCACTGCGTTGGAACGAAACGACTTCCGTGCTCAATGAGCTCTGTGTCAATGACACCGAAGTCTCAAAGTCTCGCTGGTTCCGACAGCGCTCACGGACAGAGCCCAGCTTCATCTCCCGCACACGGTGCCATGTTGTACTGTGTCCCCGCGGCATCAAGATATGTAAATCCTAGGCTCGATGAGCCCGAGCGCCGCGCCGCGCTTCGCGAACGTTAACGGTGATGAGTGACCTCGTTGGGGATGTGGAGGTGGTCGACTACGAGTCTGCCACGCCTTTTCCCGGATGTAATGACGAGAAAGGCGAGCCGCATCAGCGGCGTGAGACGAGCCCTGCTCGCGCCTTGCGGACACCATGTCCGTTTCCTGACTTCTCGTCACCTGAGGAACGTGATGTAATCACCAATGATCTCGATGAGGCGCAGAAGCGGCAGCTCTGATGCACGCCTATCC